CGTAGATTAAAAGTCTTGAATTAACGGGATCATCAGGTGAATTTGGGTTAATCATGCATAATATCAAAATAATGTCGTTTTTTTTTTTTCAAATTGCACTCTGTTCAAACCTCAAACACTTAGTAGGAAAATGGGCAAACTAGAAATATTTCTTGGCCAAATTTATGGAACTGATGACTAATCATGGAAATGGAAGGCATTAATGGTCGTAGATTTATGCTTAAGATTTGCCAACAACAACGCGGTTTTAATGTGTAATAAAATTTGTCATATACCTTCTGTCGTTATTACATAAAGCTGAAAATATTAGCTTTGTCATCTGAATTTCCGTCACTTGGACCCTTGACATGAGCCGGCTAAGTCAAAATCATTAATGGGATGGATCGAACCATTGTCATGGCTCTACAACGAAATAACCTTCAAAGTTTTGCATATAAAAAAAATCCTATAAAAATTGGCTTCTTGCATACAGTATTGTTCATCAATCTCTGGAGACTTGATGCATCATATGTGGTTAGAGAATGCGTTGAAAGAGTCAGGGAACTAGGCAGAGGCGGTTATCATTTCAAACAAACCCACTAAACCAATATCTGTCGTTTTGTGATTTTAATTGTTCAAGATTCGATATAGTTTATCGAATTTATGCTTTCCTGTACTACGCAATATTGCTAGTGATGTTCTTCCTTGATGTAGTTGCTTAAAACAGGATTCATGCCGGGTGTCGGAGGATGACATGTGAAGAGAAAGAGTATAGTAGTTAGACATGATTCGTAGATTAAAAGTCTTGAATTAACGGGATCATCAGGTGAATTTGGGTTAATCATGCATAATATCAAAATAATGTCGTTTTTTTTTTTTTCTAGTGTCAGTCAATCAGGTCTCGAAAAACTTTACCGGTCTAAATTTCTTATTCAGTGCAACTAGCAACCTATTTCGAGTTAAGCTATAGTTTCTGAATTTTCAAGTTTAAAAACTATAAGAACGAGATATCTGAGTAATCTGCACCTTGCTGTGCCTTCCGCGGTCCTCTCCTCTTGTCACATGCTGGCATTGCCATTTGTTTTGATACTTCTCCCACAATACAAAATGATGTGTTCTGTTTACTACCTGCAGGTCAGGGCTCTATGGCACTAATTAACGAGTGCTTCTTATAGTCACAAATGATTTGGGAGGTGGAAGTGGCCGACGGATTGTTTCTTCTTGTTGTAGTTTTCCTTTCCTTGTATTTTTTTTCATGAAAATATTGCATGGACTGATTCCTTCCTCGGAAAACTACCAAATGCGATTCTTTATTCGAGACATTGATGCACATGTTCTTCCCTCCTGACCTGAATATTTGACATAGATATTTTGTATTTTCCAGTGATCTCCACCATGTACAATGGCTTTCCCTATTAGCCAGAAAAAATAAAGAGGAGAAATCTGCAGACTGTGGGCCGTTTCTCCTCTTCATGTGGGCCACAAGGTACAAAAACTGCGTATCTCACTCAACAAATTAGTGGCAGTTAAGGGGCCGATGATTTTAGAGCCAGGAAGCGGGCGTTCGGGAAAATACAAAAGGGTGCCCAATCTGTGGTTCAGATTCTCATATTACAAGCTCAAACATCATCTTATCCCATACATTCCCATGCACAATTCTTACCACCACACGTTCTTTTAACTTAGTTGCAACCATACTTCAAAAGATTTAGAAAATTATGAAGGAAATGTAAAATGAGAGTGACTAATGAAACGAATTGAACTGTATTTATAGTCAGGAAGTTGCTCTCTCTAGCTTTATAGTTGCAGCCATGGCCACCCACGCAGCTCTTGCTCCGTCAAGAATCCCAGCCAATACCAGACTTCCCTCCAAGACCAACCACTCTTTCCCTACTCAATGCTCCTCAAAGGTCTCTCTCTCTCTCCCTCTCTCTCTATGCATTATACACACAAGGCACCCTATTTTAGGTGCTCTATGTTTCTCTCTTGTGTGTGATATTTTGAAGTTTACTTGGATATGCAGAGGCTAGAAGTGGCTGAGTTTTCTGGGCTTCGAGCCAGTTCATGTGTAACCTATGCAAAGAACGCTTGTGAGGGATCCTTCTTTGATATGGTGGCTTCCCAACTTGCTCCCAAGGTTAGCATAATTATATTTTGCTTTAGCACTATGTTTTTCCATCTGACAATTCTTCAGCATAATTGTATAGTTTTCCATGAAAGTTTAATCATATTACATTTGATAGCTTGATAGCTTGGGATGGGAAATTTGAACTTGAAAACTCTTCTGTAAAGGAGACATTCTGATAATATTAGCTAGGCTACAGCTTGACTAGTTTGGTTGCTTTATTTTAGTGATAAAACTCTGTATTTTGAGTAGACCTTGATATATGTCCAGCTAACCCTAACCTTGATTCATCGGGTGCTGGATTTTTTCTCTAAATTTAGGTTGCAGTATCAACTCCTGTTAGAGCAGAAACTGTATCCAAATTGAAGGTGGCTATCAACGGATTTGGACGCATTGGCCGGAACTTCCTGCGATGCTGGCACGGTCGCAAAGACTCGCCCCTTGATGTAATTGTTGTCAACGACAGTGGTGGTGTCAAGAACGTAAGAAAAATACTATAATCACTTAATGGTATCCATTCTGGAGAATTAACTTATTATCACTGATTAAATGAGAAATCGACTAATCGAGTAAGAATGTTGTCCATCAATCAGGCTTCCCACCTATTGAAATATGATTCCATGCTTGGAACTTTCAAGGCAGAGGTGAAAATTGTGGACAACGAGACCATCAGTGTTGATGGCAAGCCCATTAAGGTTGTTTCCAACAGAGACCCTCTTAAGCTTCCATGGGCTGAGCTCGGAATAGACATTGTTATTGAGGTAAGCTGTGCTCTCAACTCTCTCCCTTGTGAACTCTGTAATGGACTTGTCAGTTTTGGTGACAACTCTTTGTAAGAAAATCACATCATCTGACTGAATTGAGCAGGGAACTGGAGTTTTTGTAGATGGTCCTGGTGCTGGGAAACATATTCAAGCTGGTGCCAAGAAAGTTATCATCACTGCTCCAGCCAAAGGTGCTGATATTCCAACCTATGTTGTTGGTGTTAATGAAAAGGATTATGACCATGAGGTTTCCAACATTGTAAGGTTTGTATTTTAGCGAATCCGGCATAGGAAAAGCAAGCACTACTATATATTCTTGATCATTCATTTTATTGCATATGATATATTGCAAGCTGATAAAATTCTACTGCTTGCAGCAATGCTTCTTGCACCACAAACTGTTTGGCTCCTTTTGTGAAAGTCATGGATGAGGAATTTGGTATGAATCCAATTAAAATCAGTTCTTAAAAGCTTAGATGCATACGAGGGAAATGTGTGTGATTTTGTGATTACTTTGGCAGGCATTGTCAAGGGAACAATGACAACCACCCACTCCTACACTGGAGATCAGGTAAACCATTAAGAATTCAATGCTCTGCTGATATAGTGAATCAGTGATCTAGTCTACTTCATTAATGACATAGCCACTTCAACAATCACATTGAATTATATTATGTGCTATCCAGAGGCTTTTGGATGCTTCACACCGAGACTTGAGAAGAGCCAGGGCTGCCGCATTGAACATAGTCCCAACAAGCACTGGTGCAGCCAAAGCTGTATCTCTTGTGCTGCCTCAGCTCAAGGGCAAGCTCAATGGCATTGCACTCCGTGTCCCAACCCCTAATGTCTCAGTTGTTGACCTTGTTGTGAATGTTGAGAAGAAGGGCATCACAGCAGAAGATGTCAATGCAGCCTTCAGAAAGGCAGCTGAGGGACCATTGAAGGGTGTATTGGACGTGTGTGATGTTCCTCTCGTCTCTGTCGACTTCCGGTGCTCTGATGTTTCTTCAACCATTGACTCTTCATTGACCATGGTCATGGGAGATGATATGATCAAGGTTGTGGCTTGGTACGACAACGAATGGGGATACAGGTCAGAATCCTAAGCTAACTCAAAGCTTATAATATATATGTGGCTCTTCTATAAACTGATTGCGAGTATCCTAACTAGGATGATATGATTTTATGTTTTCAGCCAAAGGGTAGTTGATTTAGCTCATCTTGTAGCCAGCAAGTGGCCAGGTGTGGCCGCAGCGGGAAGCGGAGACCCATTGGAGGACTTCTGCAAGACAAACCCAGCTGATGAGGAATGCAAAGTCTATGAAGCTTAGAAGATTTTGGACGAGAGTACAGTCAATAATGCCTGCTTTTTTGCAGTGACGGTTTTACAGATTGGATTGATTACTCTTTTGTGTGTCAGTGTGTGAATTATGTTACTTAAATAAATAACATGATTTTCTTTATTAAAAAATTGATATTTCTATTATGAAGTTTCATGTCAAAATAAAAAAATATATATATAGAAATAATAAAAAATTATTTATGTTCCATCCAAGATTCAGGACTAGAAATCAGTTTAAAACTTTGGCATATCAATTTTTGCCACGTCACTTAGCCTCATCAATCACACCCACCATTAAAGCGTAGCACTTGATAATTACGAGTAAGTTTTTATTATATTTACATCTTATTAGTTACTAATAAAATAAGAAATTAAAATATGTATATTCTATCAGTTAAATCTTGAATATTCATTTTATTTAATAAAAAATAAAAATAATATTTTAGGTATACAACTATACATACATATATTAAATAATAATATTATAAATATTTTATATATATATGTATGTATGTATGTATTAAGGAGGGTTTAGATTTGATTTTAGATTGGATTGAATAATATTTATATATTATCTATTATTTATTAAATAAGTTAATTAGGAAAAATAAAACACATTTATTAATGAAATTGTGGTTGAATTATCATCCTTAATTAGTATTGTACCCAATTATATATAAAATAATTAAATTATTGCTGTAGTGTAATAAAAATATATTAAAATAATATTTTTTAAAAATTAAAAATTAAAAATAAATATTTTTAAAACGTAAAATGAGGACCGAAGCTCCTTCTCTCTCCCCATAATTTCAAAAAAAAAAAATCCCTAAATCAGAAAAACCTTTTAGAAAAATCCCCAATTCAGTAGCTAAAAATCGAATTCGAAATTTCCAAATGCAGCGATGAAGCGCTCTTTGATATTCCTTCTACTGTTAATTATAATCTTATCACAACTATTCTCTCAATTTTGCCTCTCTGATCAAAGCAATCTGATCACCAAGCATTTCAACCCTCTATTGCCGCCAGCACCGCAATTAAATCTCATATTTAATTCATTTTGATGCAGTAGTCAACAATATGTGGCTGTAGTTAACATTGTATTTTTTTATATATAATATCATCGGTTTCTTTTTAAAAAAATCATTTGTATGTTTGTTGGATAGTCTGTTGTTTTATTGGAGAACGAATGGTTTTGTTACTTAGTTTGTTGTAACTGATTTTTGTGCAGCGGAAGCCGTCACTGAATGCAGATGATTATATCGGAGGATGGAGAAATTACATTGGGATTGAAAAAGACTACTGCTTTTCTTGTCAATGCCAAGATGGGGAGATTCGCACATATAAGTTTGATAATGCTGCTTCGAAGTTGGGGATTCAAGCGTTTGAAGATATTACTGTTATGTTGTCGAAAGATGCTAGAGAATTGGTAGAATCTGGTGGTGTTGATTTGGGAACTTTTAAGCATCTGGTTTATATCACGAGGACAGATTATGTGCTGCAACCGTATGCTCCAAACTCCACTGAGATTTTATGGAATGTGGCATTTGCGGATACTGAGGCTGAATTTCGGTGTCAGGGTATTCAGAGTTCTTTTGGTGGGGTGTCCCTGAATGCAAATGAGGACACAGATGTGATCGAGTGGCAATTGCCTTGTCAAATGAAGAGACTTGCCCTCTGAATTTGTAACCACAGCATGTTTGAATTTGATACGCTAGCAATTACTCATATAGGAGGTGGAGCCACCTTTCTTCCAGTTATAGATAACAAACCTCCTTTCGGGCATGTTTCTAGATTTCAGCCGGCTCTTCCCAATAGTGGAGGCATACCTATGCTTGGGTCAACCTCTTCTGAGGCCAAAATCGATGGGATATTGGCTCCTTTCATTGGAAACGGTGATACAGTGAATGCCATAAGCCCATCTTCTGAAATGATAGCAAAACAGCTGTTTTGTCGATTATGGGGTTCATCTTTTACAAATATTTAGCATTCAGAAAACAGGGCAAGTTGAATAAACCTATTGAGGAACTTCAAACCCAATCTGGGATGCCATAAAAGAAGAAAAATCAGAGGTCAGGAAACAACAAGAATAATTCCAATAATGAGAAAATGCAGAAATATGTCTCTTCAGAGAAAGGTCGGTTAAACCAATGGAATTTTGCCTGTTGAAGGAAATGAAAGGAATTTGTTGTTGAGTTTGCTGATCATGTTGATGGTCGTAGAATTGGCAAGTTGTTAGTTTCCAACAAAGAAATTGCTAAGGGCAGTAATGGTACGGTTGTGCTTGAGGGAATTTATGATGGGCGTCATGTGGCTGTGAAGCGCCTGGTGCAAACCCATCATGATGTGACTTTGAAGGAGATTCAGAACCTTATTGCCTCGGATCAACATCCAAATATTGTTAGATGGTATGGGGTGGAGTATGATCAAGACTCTGTTTATATTGCATTGGAACGCTGCACTTTCAGCTTGAATGACTTCATTTATGTTAACTCTAAATCTTTCCAAACTCAAATACCATCCAAGGATATAGCTTCCAACCACTTGCCTGAGTATATGGTTCGACTACATTCAATGCGAGAACATAACAGGAATGTTGAATCGTGGAAGGCCAATGGCTATCCTTCGGCACAATTGTTAAAATTAATGAGGTCAGCTAATATTTCCCTTCTTGTTTTCAAGCAATCCATACATAGGTCTGTACATTCTATCTAGAACAGTAATTAAAGAATTAAGGTTTTGCCTTGGATGGTGCATGTGCTTCTTTATGTTTTTCTGAATATTTTAAGGGCTTATAAAAAATACTTAGTCGGCACTCTAAATTCAGTCAGATCAGAATTCATGTCATTAAGATGGTCCCTGCTCTTGAATCAGCTAAAACAATATTGTAGATTACCTAAGAAACTGGACTAAAGTTGAAGAACTCTTTATTTTCGCAGAGATGTGATTTCTGGGCTTGCCCATTTGCATGAACTTGGAATTATACTTAGGGACTTAAAACCTCAGAATGTTTTGATTATGAGTGCGAAATCTTTCTGTGCAAAGCTTTCAGATATGGGCATTAGCAAGTGCCTTAGTTGGGACATGTCTTCCTTGACCCCACATCCAACTGGTAAGCATGTCATTTTTTTATTTATTTTGTCAATCCAATTTGCGAATAATGATCACACTTGCCTTCGTTGGGACACGTCTTCCATGACCCAACATCCAACTGGTAAGCATGTCATTTTTTTCTGTCAATCCAATTATGCGAATAATGATCGCACTTCATGAGACTCGTTGCTGCTTTCATCCACCCCTCTTTTTGCTTGTGATTTCTAATGATGCTGGCTAACAAGTTATGGGAGCTCAGGCTGGCAAGCACCTGAGCAACTACTCCGTGGATGCCAAACAGGTGCACTAGGTGTGTTTAGTTTAGGCTGTGTTCTATTTTTCTGGACCACAGGGGGTAAGCACCATTTTGGTGGTAATATTGAACGTGACGTAAATATTGTCAATGACCGGAAGGACCCATTCTTAGTAGAGAATATACCAGAAGCTCAGATCTTTTCTCTTGTCTCTAGGATCCTGACCCAGAGAAGAGGTGAGACAGTCTTACACTTCCATTCTGAAAAGATTTTTTTATGCTTCTTCAATTATTTGTTTATTTGTAATTTGAAAAGAGTCCTATATTCTAACACATCCTGTTAGTATTATTTTTCATGTGATAACGTTTTCCCTGTATATGCTGTAGGCCAAAAGCCCAGGAGGACTTGAACCATCTCCTGTTTTGGACTTCTGAGAGAAGGCTCTCATTTGCCCAGGATGTTAGTGTTCGAGTGGAACTGGAATATAGGGAGACTGAATCAGAACTCTTAAATGCATTAGAAAGTACCGCAACACTGGCACTGAGTGGAAAATGGGATGAAAAGATGGAACTCTTAAATGCATTAGAAGGCTCTCATCTGTAGGGTACTCCCTCGAGAGATCAAAGAACTATTAGGGTCACATCCAGAAGGATTTGAGAGTTGTTTTTCACGTCGATTTCCAAAACTCTTGATTGAAGTTTACAAAGTGATCTAAAGGTATTGCAAAGAGCATGAATTTATTTGTACACAGACAGCAATATAATCTAGCAAACCACTGTCATTCTCCATACCTATCATGGTTCCTCTGGACAGAATATTTATAGGTTTTGTACATAGAAACTGTATCATATCACTTCTTGTAAACGTCAATTGTAACCCACCCAATGCTAACATCTTTTAGCTACGTTTCTTTTACCACCGAGGTACAGCTGGCTCCAGTTAAAGGAAATGTTGCATTTCACCTTACTTGGGAGATTTTTTTTAGTTAGATATTGCCTATACTCTGAGCAGGCTGATCCATGATGGTTTTTTTGTGTTTGGGTTTGAGGATTCCAGATATAGGTTTGTCTAGATATCAATAGCTTTTAATGAATGGTCATCATGCATGCAAGTGCAATTATTTGCCTCTCTCAAAATTTTGAAAACTCTCACTGCTGTAGGGTCCAAGCTGAGATTGCACCGGTTTCTTTCACATTGTTGTGGGCAGTTTTTCAAACTCCTGATGATATCTTTTCTAACCGTACTCTGGCAAGCTACCGCATTTGTCAACTGGGAGTATCATGCAACTACAGGTCTCAAATTTTACTCCTGCACATAATTCTCAAATTTTGGATGACAGAAGGGGTTATCCTATCTTCTGTCATCCCAGAGGCATTCAAGCTCTAGGAAGAGGTTAATCCTTTCATAATTTTCATAAATTAGCTTCTATTTCTCTAACCTTAACTTTGATTCACCAACCCCGTCCCCAGGATAAAAGAAAACCTTACAAGAGGCCAAATTTGGGTACAGAAACTGAACCGTCCACGAGAGTGCTTGTTGAAAGGCTCTAAACTTGGCTGAAAACCCTGAATTATTTTATACTTTAGTTGATTATATTATACATGGGAGAACTAAACGCTATCCCAACCAGTGCTTGTGTGATGCTGGCCTATCATATATGTCAGCCAAATAATCCAAGATCCCTTCAGAACAAAATTACAGTTGGATCCCAATTTAACCCCACAAACTTTATCTCCACCGTTTGCTACCCAACACGAGTGGCCCACTCATCATCACCTTTTGATCTGGAGTTTGAAATTCTTACATCACACTGTTTCCCAGTCCAGGATTTCCCCAAATTGTGGCACCAGGAATAGTTTATCCATTTATTGCTTAGGTAAGACGAGTAATTCTAGCAAACGCCATTGTCATTTTCCTTCAGAGATATCGGTACATAAATCCTCTATACAAGCAAAATTCTCTAACTAGTAGCAGCCCAGCAGCCCCAATTGAACCAAAATGGCTCCTGGTTCTGTCCTCGTCCTTCTCTTCCTTGCAATTCTCAGCCCATTTCCAAACGTTTCTGCTGTTGGTGTGAACTACGGCACTCTTGGAAACAACTTGCCATCACCAAAAAAAGTAGCTCAGCTTCTTCAATCCACACTCATTGACAAGGTGAAGATCTATGACACAAACCCTGAAATCCTCGGGGCATTTTCCAACACCGGAATTGACCTCATCGTAGCAGTCGAAAACTACCACGTGGCAAACATCAGCACTGACACATCAGCTGCCGATGAATGGCTCACCAATCGCGTGATTCCCTTTATTCCAGCCACTTCCATTGTTGCCATTGCTGTTGGTAATGAGTATTTAACAACAGATCCTGATCACTTGAAGCCAAATGCACTTATCCAGGCCATGCAAAACTTGCATGCTGTTTTAGTACAACGCGGACTTGACCGAAAAATTAAGGTCACAACTCCACATAGCATGGCAGTTCTTGCTTCCTCATTCCCTCCTTCAGCTTCAACTTTTGCCACTACACTCATGCCTGTTATGACCTCAATTGTAGGGTTTCTGGCTGACACGGGTGCCCCTTTTATGGTCAATGCTTACCCTTATTTTGCTTACAGGGACAATCCTGGTATGGTTGACCTAGAGTATGCCTTACTAGGGAATGCAAGCGGGGTTCGTGACCCTAAAGGATATGTGTACAGCAATATGTTAGATGCCCAAGTTGACGCTGTTAGGTCAGCTATTATTGCATTAGGGTTTGGTAATCGGACAGTTGAGATGACCATATCAGAATCCGGGTGGCCATCAAAGGGTGAATCAAGCGATGACGCTGCCACACCAGAAAACGCAAAGACTTACAATACCAGGTTGATTGAACGTGCACAGTCTAATAAAGGGACACCAATGAATCCTAAAAAGAACATAGAGATATTTGTGTTTGCTTTGTTTAATGAGAATAAAAAAGAGGGTGGTGTTAGTGAGAGGAATTTTGGGATGTTTAATGGGGATGGATCTAAGGTGTATGAAGTGGATTTGAGCTGCCAGTTTTGTAGTAGCAATGGAGGGACATTAGGGTTTGGGGAGAAGATGTCAAGTGGAGTAAGAGGTCCTTCAGTTTGGTGTGTGGCTAAACCTCATGCTGATGAGAAGGTGCTTCAAGCTGTGCTGGACTTTTGCTGCGGACCAGGTGGTGTGGATTGCAGAGAGATTTATGAAAGTGGTGATTGTTTTGCACCAGATAAGCTTCATGCACATGCGTCCTATGCCATGAATGTTTATTATCAAATCCACGGGAGAAACTACTGGAATTGTGACTTCAAGGGCACTGGACTTGTTACTTTCAGCGATCCAAGTAAGAATTCAAGAATTTTCCCTTCTCAATTTCCTGCCTGAAGATGTGTTTTAGTTCTTGTTAAAACCAGTTTTAGTAAACGTGTCCGGTCCGGCGGGATAAACCCGTGATTATCCTGTTAAATAGAGATTGCAACTTAGTTAAACCTGGTTTTAACTATTTTTAGAAAATATTTTTTTCAAAACAAGATTGTTTTTTAATAGATACTATTTTGGATTTATCTTGTTTAATCATGATTGCTTCACCTGATCAGATTATCAAGTTATTTTACATGTGATTCGGGCTTTAAAATAATTTTTAGATTAGATTAGCAAGAGTTAACTAACCTTTCATTGAAATGGTTTAGTCACGTTTAATAACTTTGTTTGAAACTTCAATATTAAAAAAGAGTTTTTCAAACAAAATTAAATAAAGGGTATTTGTTATAGATCAGCTGTTAATCAATATTTTTTTTTTCTGTGAATGATTCGATCAGGTTATGGTACATGCAAATACTCCCAACAATGACCGATGAGCGAGAAATGGCAGGAGCCTTCAAAAGGTTTTTGGCAGCTCTTCCTGTGATTATTAATGCATGTAAAAGTAACGTGAGAGACACCTTGCCTCGGTTACTGCAAAGACTTTAATTATAGAATTAATTCGTTGGTCCCTGGTGGTTTAATCGATGGGTTTGTTTGAATATTTTGGTGGTTTGTCTGATAAAATTAAAGTGTCTTTTCTCTGAAGAGAACAGAGTGAGCGGCAGCAAGCACATGGTGGCAGGCAGGGTCTGATGTCTCCATGTTCTATGGCTTTTCATCCTGCTTCGGCCTTTGTGGTCAAAAAAACTGGAAAAGCTCTCTCTCTTTCTTCGGGAAAGAATCTTTCCTGGTTTCCTCCTTTCGAAAATTGGGCCCTTCGAGGGCTCTCTTCTCTTGTCTGAACGTGTGCTTTCTTCCATCGAAACCGTTTTCTATCGTGTCAGCTCTCTTTTTTTCCAATAAAAACATTATTTAATTAATCAAATAATTCTTCCCGTTCAAATCTTAATTTTATAAAAAACTAAGATAATATTTTTTTAAATCACAATTAAAAATATTTTTTATAAATTTTATTTTTAATATGTAATACAAAAGCTACTATAGTATACATGCAGTTATAATTTTGAAATTATAATCACAAAAACTATCATGTAGAAAAAAAACAAATAAGGATCCAAGGTGTGAATGGTCATTTGAAGCCCAGCCAAATCCATCGTCTAGCTAGCTTTGAGAATTTTGAAGACCAGAACATGGCGAATGTAAGGTTGTAAATGTGTGGTTCTAAAACCGAGTTTTATATTTCATTTTAGAAATTATTCATCTTTAATAAAAATAATAATGGCTTTTAAAGAATTCATTGTATTAAATAATTGTATAATTTCAGGTTATGTATGTTTACTCAACGCCATAAATACAAGCTTTTTAATTGTTTTGAAATATCTTTTCATTTTAATTTTTATATGAAGGTAGACAAGTTTCTTAAAATAATTTTGTAAACCCAGACTCGGAAAAATCAATTAAAAAATCTTGAAAACAAATACTAAATTAAAATGGTACTGGAGACTAAATACAAATTGGCCGACCAAACCACCGGTTGATTGTAAATAAATAAAGAAAAAATTAAAATTCCAATTCTTCTCATGAAAACAATTGGTTAGGACTGAGAAGAAAAGAAAATTTAGGGAATTTTTTTTGAGAAAAAAACTAAAGAATTAGATAAGGCAATGAAGGAGGTGAGAAAGGGTTTGGAAACTCATGATTGGTTGACATTTGAAGCTATTATAGAGGGGTTTTTTTTTATTGAAAATCTTCAATTTTAAAAATTAGGATCTTTATTCACATTTAGAGGTATTGCAAAAACTGTTGTTTTATGATGTAATCAAGTTTGGATAATGATGGAATAATTCAAAATAATGATTAATAAGAAAAGAAACCCAGGTGTTTTGATTATAGGTAGAACCAAATATTAACAAGTAGTGAGCTCTTAATTAATTAGGAATTTAAACCTTTGAAGTCGTTTGAACAAATGAGAAACTTGCTTAAATGTGAATTGGCAAAAAGAAGTAAGCATTCCTTTGGAAAAGTTTAGTCTCAAAATAAAAGTGAATTGGATTAGTTGTTTTTTTTTTTAGGAATCTGTATTTTACCTAATTAGATTTGAGAATATGGATTGATTGAAAAGAAATTTTAAAAGAAATCGGCTTGGATTATATTAAATGTAATAAGCACTAAATAAAATAAAAAATGATATAGTATGCTTGTTGATACAAGTAAGATTATTGGTATTACACAACCGTAGAGAATAGCTATCAAAACACAGATTACATGTTAGTGCTAAATACCTTAAAATTATTGATTATTTATTTAAACTCAAGCATGTAACTAAAGTTATATTTAATTTATAATTTGTGATATTGAATAATATGTTAAGCTAGTTGCCAGGATTCACCCCTGATTTGGGCAACATGGTTAACTACCCTGGATAAGAGTTTAGTCCGGGAAAGTACTAGATAGATTTATTAGTAGCTTTGAATTGTGAAGTTATATATATAGGGTTAATCAGATGTTCGGGACAACAATATATTTTTACAAATATTAAAAAAAAATATATTGCAATGTGTTAATAAATAACCATAAATTAAAAATGATAAAGTGCTTTTTATGGGTTGATTAGTGTCTAGTGAGGCAGGTCGGTTGTCAATGACAAAATGCTGCAAAAATATCGATACTTGTGTTGTGCTTGGAAGCATATGTACAGGACAATTTATGATTCTTTGCCGAGGTCAAGATTACAGTGATCAATTATAGGCCCCACTCCTTGTCTGTCTGCTCCACCTCCCCCCCCCCCCCCCCCCCCCCACCTCTGTTTTTTTTCCTTCCTTCTAGCAAACTCATCTTGCTGAATGTTAAGAGCGTGAAGAGCAGTCTGCGGATTGAATTCGTAGCAGTCAAGTTAGTTTCAACGAAATGAGGAGACAAAGTTAATAAAGTGTAGAGAGAACTCAGCCAACATATTATTATTGATCTGTTAGCATTGAAATTCTAACGTTTCCTTTCTTTATGATTTGATACAGGACTCTGGGATAGATATCAGCAATGTAGTGGTTGGTGCCATCTATGTAATATCAGCAAATTTCAGTGAAACAGATCCATGCATTGATGTTGAACTGAAGTAGATGGAAAGATTGATAATATTCTGAATTAAGGTCAAACAAATTCAGAATTATGCATTCATGCTCGTGGAACAAAAATCTGTAGGGCTATAGATGACTATCGAACAATTTGTTTCAAAGTCCACCTCAAACTCAGGACTAATGGTGTTGTTTTTCTTTTGTTTGTGACTCTAAATCAAGGGGATTTGAGTTAGCCTACTTTTCCTATTGATCTGAAACTTTCTCAAATCAATCAAGTTATCAGCGGACACCTCTATTTACAAGAGAAATGGGAATCTTCCGAGAAGCTGATTCACAGGTTCTTCTCTCCATAGGAACAGAAGTACCAATTTACTCGTTACTAAACTTGTTGAAGAGATGAAATCCTAAACAAGATAGATAATAAACTTACTTTTATACTATCTCCAATATTCACAATGTCATCTTAAAGCATTTTTAAAAAAGAAGAAGAAGAAGCAGCAGCTTTCAAGGTCTAAAGTACTATAAAAGGATAAAAATGCTCATTCATAAGCTTACTTGCTTATGTTGATGTCGCTCCAATCGTCCTTTCTATTTCTTTCCTCTTGGGATTCCTCAGTGACTCACCGTCCTGATCTTTCCCGGATAATGATGTTTCCAACTTCCTTCTTTTACTCGCATTCTTTGTTGGGTCTTCCTTCTGATCCATTAATGTCAATAGTCTACGGATACACCCAGAACGTGAGGGACATTGACCAGGAGAAGCAGATTCTGCAGGGGCAGCATAAAATAGTCGTATAATCTGCAAGACGTGTATGACGAGTGAAATGAAGCAAGCTAGACCACAAAGGAGAAAGAGGCCCCAAAAGCTCCTAAGGTAAAGTTTATCTGCTTCAAGCTCAGAAGTATCCGAACTGCATGTGCTTTGCATCAGCCACTTGTCATGGATTCGTTGGAGATCACCATTCTCTGATAGTGCTAAAATTGCGGTCGACATATCCACAGCTAAGGGAGAGTCACTTGGAAATGCCTGGTTTACGGAAAACACAGATGAGCAGAGGAAAGAATTAGCAATGGAAACTAACCACTACCTTGAAAAGATGTTTATGTATAATGGTAAAGTGTACTGCATGTATGTCCAGGGATTCGGAATGAGTACATTTAGCTTGCATAAAACATGGTTTTGAGGCTAATAATCATGTGAAATCAGCCTTTTAAAATGTTAATGCACTGTTTTGACAGATGTTTTATGGAAATCTTATCCTTTTTAGATCTAATGCAGTAAGTAATGCACTGCTTTTAGCGTGAGAAAAGAAAAGATGGATCAGAAAGCAGGTACTCACGAAACCCCAGCCACTTTTTGTAAATTCTCGACCCACGATCCTGAACGTGCACTGCCCTGCAAGGAAAAGTTCCACATAAGGACGTTCATCAACAATGGCAGCAACACCCCCTTTTCCAGGACCGAGTTTGAGTGCTTTAGCATATTCTTCTGGTGATCCCAGGGCAACAAGCCTAGATTTTGATATTCCAACTTCCTCACTCAAGTAATATTCAGCAAAAGAACCCACCTGGTACCCTACTGGCTCATCACTTTCCTTCAAGCTTTCAATTCCTTTAATATGAGAAGAGAGTTGATGCACTGTGAGAATTGACGTCAAGCTTGCAGTGTAGTTTGAGTTGATTATTAAAACCACAAAGAGCCATATAAGTAGCACAAATCGCGCAAGGGTGCTCATAGTGTTTTCTCCTGCAAAGGTTTTAGGAAATCAACTCAGTCAAATAAATGATGATGCTTATGCTCCAAGATAAGCATAAAATCTTGGCAAGAATCTGATTTTCACTTACTATGAGTGGAAAATAGAGTCGAGAGACTGAACCTGCATAGGTTAAGAAAAAATGCATCAGCACTGATTGTTTCGAGTACTTTCAAGATGTTATTTGGTGATATATTTTCTGATGTCTGACCCTCGTATGATACAGTCAGCTTTACAAAATGGTGCTTGAATTGCAAGAATACAAGTACATAATTTTAGCCAAGCAGCATGGTACAGAAAGCAAATTGCTTCCCACAATCAAAAAACAGAAGGGAAACATTTATAGCAGTAACTGAGAAACAACAGACACAGATGCAAGAATGAAAACATTAAAACTCAAGGAACAGTGCAGACATGTATGAGAAAATATTTCTCTTTTCTTGAATTTTGAAGAATTTCCATTTGACTTGAAAGCTCACCATATAACAGTTATGATTTGCCTTTTAGGTGGGCCCCTGAACTCATCATTTATCCTATGCTCAAGAATCCACACAACTAAGCCAACAACAAAGAAGAAACAACCGGTGACAATCCACAGACGGGCACTAAATGGCCCCAGGAAAGCCCAGGCTCCTGAGTTTGACTTCCTAAAAGGGGCCACAACAACCAATCCAGATGCGACATATGGCTGTGTAAAATCTAGGATTTTTGTCCTGTTGGTGACAATGGCAACGTCACCAACAACAGCATCAAATAACTGCAACAAGAATATGAGCGAATCAGACACTGGAATATATAGACTCAACTTGAAGTTGCAAACAACTTTACTATGCACTCACACCCGTCGTAATTTTATACACCAGCTCTGTGTAGCTTGGATTGTTTTTACCATCTCCAAAGGGGATAAACTGATATTGAACAGGATATGGTAATAAAGTTATTGCAGATGTAAAAACATCTATGCAGAAACCCTTGAATGTATCTGTCCCTCGTGCTTGTGATACAAACTCCCGGAAGCTGACCCGAAGTGGCACACCAATTCTCAGTTGCTTCCCATTGTTAGCAAAAGCCCATCCACGTGGCGTGAACAATGTATCTCCAGGCCAAATAACTTTGTACAGTTCCTGGTTTGCACTTGAACGATTTGGTGGCTTTGTATAAAGCATCTCAGGAGGTACGACAGTCAAACCAGAGTAATTGGACCAGTAACCAATCCGTTTGAACCCAGTTCCGAACACGTTATTAACATCGTATGCAGGAAGAATAAGAGATCTCTCTGTGTCAAACTTAATACGGCCTGTCAAACCAACAAGATCACTCTGCAATATGTTATTCAGCAGAAGTTTTCCATCATCAAAGATGCTCATTGCCTCAAGGTGCAGACCACTATCTTTCACTGAACGTAACCTGGAATCATTAGAAAACGAGATAATACCACCCTGGTTAAAAAATGCATCAATAGCATGTGCAATTAGCCAGACAGAATCATAAGCATAAAGGCCATAAGAATTCAGCCCCAAAGAACCACCAGTCAATTTGCGCCACCTAGAGTAAAACGCTCTCTTTCGATCTGAATCTGGTGTATGTTGACGTAAAAAGAGAACTCCTTGAATTGAGTCCATGGTCTCTGATGGGAGAGGTGAAGCAGAATCCAAAACAGACGAGAGCCAATTTGTAGCAATCCATACCCACCCATTACCCATCATTTGAAGACGGTTTGCCACAGAAAAGACCTCGAAACCCACATCAGGATTCACATGGAGAACTATAACGCGAGATTCCATTGATGCAACCTTAATAAGCATATCTAAGATGTCAGTCCCATTAACTCCAGAATCCGGGGGAACCCCCACCTTGTAAGATATTCTACAACGTCTCTCTGCAAGTTTATCACCCAGAGCTGACATGCCATTTCGTCCATAATCATCATCAATGTAAATGGCAGTTACTTGCTTCCAACCATAGTAATCAACAACGTCTGATATTGCTGCCATTTGGTGCAAATCGCTCTGGGTGGTCTGAACAAAAAAGGGAAACTGCAGAGAGTTGAGACTGGGGTCTGTTGCTGCAAATGACAATAGGGGAACTTGAAGCTGATTCGCAACATGGGATATGATACGAGCAACGACAGAAGATTGTGGGCCGATAATGGCAACAATATCAGTCTCCATAAAACGCAAAGCTGCCACAAGCATTATGATTAGAGTACATGATTGAAAATCCAATATCCTCCATGATAAGTAGTTAAACACACCAAGTGTAGTCAGCAACTGACATTGAAAGCAAAAGGGAATTGAAGATGTAGCAGTAAATTACCTTCAACCATGCCTAGAAACCCACTGCAATTAGAGTTTCTCACATCAACATTGAGTTTGGTGCCCCGCAGAATGCTAGAATTCGCATTTACATCTTTGACAGCTTCCTGAATAGCAATCTTGGCAACTCTTCCAATCGAAGATTCGAATGTAAAAAGAGCTCCAATATTCACAACAGCAGGCCTTGAGGTCAGATTCCTACTATATCCAGTTGTTGAAAGCAGTAAACAGATGAGAAATACCCAACAACCAAACCTAATAGAATCCATTTCAATTCAATAACACAATTATCTTCTCCTCCAAAACGAATCTGCCAGCACAATATTGATTATGAAGGGCTCTGAATAACGTGTAAAAAACCAGACCTTAGTCAGAATTATCAGCAACAGCAATTTCAAAAACAGCAATTAATTGACTGAAGAAGTAAGCAACGGTCTCTTCATGCATGTATGCAATAAAAAGATACCTGCAAAAACTAAACTTCTAAACAACTCGTCAAGCACTGAGTTACACAGTGCTCTGCTGAGAAAAAATAAAACTTCAGAATCCAGACAAAAGCATGAACTCAGCCATAGCAATTTCAAAAGCAAATTTGCTTCATTTGCTACAACAATGGCCCTAAGCTATAAGAAGACAGCTAGCAAGTAGAAACAAGAACCAGATTCTATGTTCAAGTAAGGAACAAAATTCCAGAAAAGCCCGTGTTAAAGAAATTACCAGGAAAGAACCCCATGACGAAGCCAAGAATAGTTCTTTCTCCTATGAGACTTGAAAGCGGGACAAGTCACCAAACTTTCTTCATTGGTCACTTGCCTCTTTAGAATTGAATGGGAATTAATGCTCATAACGAAAGAAGTACGTCATTGTTCAACTGGGCAGCAGAAGGCATCATGTTTGAAATTCGGTTCAGCATGAGATGAGATTCCCAAGTTGGTGACAGTTTTGTCGTCTACGAGAATTTTTGGAGGGGCACAACTTCTTAGACAGATAACAGTTGCTTGACTTGATTGCTTGAAGGTGTATTCCCACTATCTATTCTTAGACTCCGTTAATTCATGTGACACATGATGATATCAAATACGCTTTAATGTCATAAATAAAATATGATAGGGTTTGATTGTCTTTACAGTTGAACAGCTGTTTTGTTTTTTTTGTTTTTTTTTAAAATTGCTTCAAATTATATAATGTTTTTTATTTTTTGGATATAATGATATAACAAATAAATTTAAAAAAGTATATCATTTTAATATATTTTATTAAAAAAATACTTTAAAATGTAATTTCTAATACATTTTAAAATTCATTGTTAATGTTACAAAGACAGTTTTTATTGCCACACGAGAGGCCCGTGTGGGTCGTTGACAAATTAAAGTTATTAAATATTTTAGATGATGAAAGTTTTTGAAATGGTGGGAGGGGCGTGAAATGTATTGGTTAAATATATATGATTGGAAGTAAGATTCTTATTTAAACAAAAAAGTTAAAATCTATATATTAGATATTTTAATATAATATATATATATAATGTTTTAGTGGGTTAACTCAATAATTTATTAATTTAAAACTTAATTTATGTAAGATTTATATTTAAGCACATGCTAGTTGATTCAATTAAATTTTATTTTATTTTAAAAAAAAATATAAAAGGATAAACTTAAGTTGACCAACCTACGCCATGACCCATCTTTAAACCAAGTCACGAGCCACGCTAGATTTTACCAGGTATAGTAGTTGGCCTATATATATATATATATATTGAGTTAGAAGATAAAAGAACCAGATCAACAAAATGCATCGCTTGATTTAGAATTTTGTGGGAGCAAACTTTTAAGATGCTTTACAGTGCATCAGAAAATTCATGCAAAGGTCACGAGACCCATTGGCACGTCTTTATATCTAATTGTAATTAATTAACCAAGTTTGAAACCCTAACACACACTGCAGGTTTCCGACAAGAACAATTTCGATGGAAAGGACCTCGAATAGTGCTGGCGAGGTCCTGTATCGAAATGGTAGGAGATATGCATAGAGGAGAACTATGAAAAGCACTTAATTTGATTTTATTCGATTCATATTGCTGATCAACTTTGTTTATCTTGGTGTATCTGTGCTCCAATGGTTCTTCATGACAAAGAATTTTATCGTATATTACATGGATAAAGCCTTAAATTATTGGATGGGTCAGAACAAAAGAATTGTTTCAGATCACATGAAAATATGGAAAATGTCACGATGCATGTAAAAATATTCTTATACCTCTCAGCAATATTATAAATTATCCCTTCACATTGATTTTTTACATGAATGCTTGAAGGAACGATTAGCTTATCTGAAATATTTGTATTATTTAACTCTTTTTATTCTATTAAAGTTGAATAATATAAATATTATACATGATAATAAATTAAAAAGCATAAAAAATAAATTTCACGGGTGAGGTGGTGGGTTAAATTTTTAAAATCTAGTCAACTCAACCTTACTCGTGTATCTTTTATTTTTTTATTTAATAATTTATGAATTGAAAATGTTTCAAAGGAGTTTTTTTTAGTGTGTTTCCTATTAAATTTCTTTAATATAAAAAAAACTTGTTTTTATATTTAATAGTGATACAATATATAAAAATTAAATCTAATACTAAGGGTATTATGTAATCTACTATTTATATTGTAGATTCTTCTAATATTCATAAAAAAAATAATCCATGATATATTCAATTAATTGACTTATTGGGGCTGGGTTATACTTGCTATTCCTTTTTATATTAGGTTAATTAAAAAATAAAATTTATAATTTATTTTTTATTAAATGAAAATTATAAATTTTACAAATTAATTTAGATTATCTTTTAGCATTCCAATAGAATCATATCAAATTAATATTCACTTTTTATCTAAAGGAACCATTAATAATATCTATGTATTTTTTATATTAAAATAATTCTAATCCAAATAGTATGTACAGCGATCTAGTGACATGTTTTGATCGATGGGATTTTATTGAATTGACAAAGGAAAGAAATGGATAAAATGAACATGGAATAATACTCGAGGAATTACGAGCAAAAAGGATCGTGCAAGTTGCAACCCGACATGCAAGAAAAGTTCTTGAACCGGATAATCCAAGGCTCGAGTTACCTGGATTTTATTAAAACAATGGATTACCTGGGTTGATTGAGGTTAATTGGAGACGTTATTTTATTTTATTTTTAAAAAATCTTGACCAGTTAACTGGTCCGTTAGTTAATTTATCGGAATGAACAGATCAAATTTAAATCGAGTTTCTTTTGTTCTCGTCTCAGGGGTCGGAGCCGATCAACCCGCATCGCCGGCCGACTGAAAAACTGTGCATGCAAGCGAGGGTACATGAATGAAAGATGGAGTAGCATATTATCCTTTTGATGTCAAGAACATCACCCATTGTTACTGCTATTCTACTCCAACCCCACCGACGAGTGATTGATTGTTTTTGATTTTGATGCCAAATCTTGTAGGCTTTCATAGCTATGGTATCTAGGGCGAGCAGCTCAAAAAGAATACTTCCTCTCTCCCTTTTTTTTTGTTTTTTCCTTGGTTTTGCTGTTAAAAGTGGAGACGACTTTCGGTTAATTTCAGTTGACTTTTTATTTTAAAAAATAACTAAATTAAAATTATTATTATTTTTTAAAATTCAAAATTATAACCGAATCAAAACCCGTTTAAATTAATTAATTGTGATCTGGTTTGATTCGGTTTATGCTGTTTAAAAATAATAAAACCAAGAAAAAACTTATATTTACAAGTCTAGAAGAAATTCATCTGTCAAACCAAAGTGTATAGATTTAATTATCAGTTTTAAAAACTTACGATTATTTACTCCTTCTTAAAACCTCATGATTTTTATAGTATTAGAAAAATATACGCAATCACGAAGAAATAAAACTAACGGGAAAAACAAAATCTATGAACTTATTATAGTTTATATTAATCAGTATCTGTTTGAATTCTATTTAACATACAAGTAAAACTGAAATTGTAAATTATAACATAGCATAATAGAAAAGGTAAAAAATCTAATTTTGAGATTTTGAGATTTTTTAATTGGTTAATTTAATCTTTTTCTTGGTTAATATTTTTAGTTAATTCTTTAAAATTTAATCGGATTTTCTGATTTTTTTTCTCACCCTAGCCGTTGGTCTTCAAAAAATTGGAGATGAACTACTGTAAAGATTTCACCTCACCAACAATACTTGAAATTAATTTATACTCCTGTATATGACCCAGAGGAAATCCGCAGGACAAATCATTATATTAATTGAGCACTTGGTACAAGATATATAGCCCATTCGTTTTCGACTTGAACAGTGAATTAATCTTGCACCAGCTCAAGCATGCTTCGATAACGTAATGCTGCGATAGTAATTGGTTTTTACAGATATTATTAGCTTGGTAATTTATTATAATAATATTTTTTATTCTTTGAAATTTATTTTTAATATTAGTTTATCAAAATAATATAAAAATAAATAAATTTAATATAAAAAATATTTGTATACAGCAAAAACAAACAATGACAAGCTGCATGAGCAAGGTGGATGTCACGCCTCTAGATTGGGTTCGGTTACATTCTTGGTTAGGCTTGGGCTTGCAAATGATATCATGATGGGAACCCACAACTTGGATTTGTGACTGACAACGACTCAGTCGAGCCCCGTGGCTCTGCATATCCTGTCCGGTGTGTTTCTTCTTCTGCACGCAAATGGTCACTCAGTGTTCTCTCATTGATACAAGAAGTGATCATGATTAGAAGAAGCAAGACAAGAACGCAACTCCATTTTAACCTTAGGGACGGTTTATTTTTGTGTTTTAAAAATGTTTTTTTAAAAAATTAAATTTTATTTATTTTTTTATTAATTTTAAATTAATATGTTTTTAGTGTTATTAAATTATTTTGATGTGTTGATGTCAAAAATAATTTTTTAAAAAATAAAAAAACATCGTTGACATGTATTTTGACACGAAAAGCTAAAGCAACAGCAACCATACTTCTAAACAAACTCTTACTACAAATGAAGTTTTTTGAATATTATTTAGTTTATTTTTTAATATATTTTCTTTAAAATAAAAGCTTTTTAAATTTAAAATTTATATAAATTTATATTATTTTATATTTGATTTTTATAAAATAAATAAAAATAATAAAATTCAAATTCGTAACCATTTAATTATTAAAATTCTCATATCATATTAAAAATTTTAATTTAATAATTTAAATTATTAAATATAATTTATATACTTAGGATGTAGAATTGTCTGGTTTCAGATTGGCTCGAACCAGTACATGAAATATAAGTAAAGTCATGGCTATCCTAACAATGTCTGAAACATTGATCGCCACCGTCGACTGCAAGACCTTCCATAATTAGCAAAATAAAAGGATGGAATGACAAAACCACCTAATTATAATTAGAGCAGCCATACCACACACCAGGGAGAGGGAGGGGGAAAATTTACAAGAAAAGAGACAGAGGACCATATCAACCCATGATCTATCTGTTTGCCAATAAGTTCATGATCTGCTTGTCGATTTAAGGTTCAATCATTACATCCATTGATTGATCTAGTTTGTTTACATTTGATCCGTCCTTTGAAACCCAAAGGGGTTTTTCTTGTAATAAAATAAGATATCACTACAAGGGTCTCGTTGCACAAAAAAAACAATTAAGCTCTCAAATCAGCAAAACACCAAAAGCATATGTAAAAATAAATGAAAAAAACGTATTCTTTAAAAAATTAAAGAGAAAAATAAGAATGGAAATAAAATATATACCATAGAATATTTGATTTAAAACTTGGTTAATAGCAAGTTAGTTAGATTAACTAAATTGTTTTATTTAAAAAAACTATAAATAATATAATTTAAAAAAAATATTTTTTATTAGCCAAATTTAAATTAAATATTAAATTATCAAATTAATCTGTCAAATCATATATAATATTATTATTATGCAATTTATCATATTTTTTAAACTATCATTTGAAAGTTAACATTATCTTACAATGATATTTCAATATACTGATATTTAGAAAGCTCCTTCTAATAATCAATGCTTGATAATATTTTTCACAATAAATACAATTCATTTAATACATTTTGAAAAAATCAAGCCTTAAAGAAAAAAAAAAAACAGATAAAAGCAAAAGAGAACCGGACCGTCCATTAAGCAGTTAGAAGATCCAACGGCTGGGACACGATGGCGGCACCAATCCACTAACAACCAAAACAACGATCAAAACAAACAAAAAACCCACCAACCAAAACAAACCACGTGTCATCAATCCCATCAGCAGCTCGCGGTAGATCCATCACAAGATCACCTGGAATCGCCAGTACCCAACCAAATACCCACACCATTTCCCCTCCCTTTCGCCCCTTCCTCTCCTTTCTCCCTTATTCCTGCCCCTTTTTGTCCTAGGGTTTCTCCAACCCCCATCACCACCGTTGATTTTTTGTTATGATCGAGAACAAGATATGGCAGCAAGCATGGATTTTTCACCGCCATTTACTCTACTAGAAGGCGGTTACAACAACAATTTGTCAGAAAATTTAGAGAATCTTAAACAACCCACTAATGGTAAACCTCCGTGTCATCTCCGTCAAAGTATGGACTCCGTCCGATTGCTCAACGCTGCTGATCTGGTAAGTAAGAAGGAAATTGATGATTGGATGTGCTTTTGATGAAAAGATTATGAATTGATTGATTTCTGTTTAGGCCCTTAATGTTGGGGTTGAGGTTGTGATTGGTAATTCACCGGCTGAAGAGAAATCGGAGTTCTTTCCGGCGGTGTTTCGATCGGGAAGTTGTGCTGAAGGAGGGCCGAAACAGTATATGGAAGATGAGCATGTTTGTATAGATAATCTTGTTGATCATCTAAGAGCTACCACCAGCGCCAATTGCCCTTCTCCTGGAGCTTTTTACGGGGTGAGTATATTTGAAACGTTCGATCTGTGTCTCTGGGAATATGGACAAGTTGTTAGTATCTGGAAATCGGTTTATATTGATTTTTGTTGATTTTTGTGGGCAGGTGTTTGATGGGCATGGAGGTACGGATGCGGCTTCATTTGTGAAGAATAATATTCTGAGGCTTATAGTCGAGGACTCCCATTTTCCGAATTGTGTAGAGAAGGCGATTAAGAGTGCGTTTGTGAAAGCTGATTATGCGTTTGCAGATGATAGTGCACTTGATATCTCTTCTGGCACCACTGCACTGACTGCTCTTATACTTGGAAGGTAAGCGAGATGTGTTTTTCGGTTAGATTTGGAATATTGAGGAGGATGTTCTTACCTAGGGTGTAGTATCAGTTGGCCATTGACCTTTAAATGTACTTGATTGGAGGGCGGCTTAGTTGTTTTGTGATTTTTTCCTGTAAAGTAATAAGAAAGCTGGAGAGTGAGTTAAAAGTGAGAAAGTAGAGGATGATGATAGAAATGGGAGTGATGTATATCAGATCTGTCTGAACTTTTAGATTAAGTTGAACTGGGTTCATTAGCATGCAATACAAATAAATTACCTTTATAAGTTGAGCGAATTAAGTGCTCGATCAAGGGCCTTTTGTTGTTTTTGTCTACTTTCAGTACTGTGCCATCCATTTTTAGGGATGCCTATGTGCAAACATGTCTTTCTGGCAAGTTCAGGATGTGAGAAACACTCTGTTTTTTTTCCCTTAAATTCGTTTAGGTTTTGAGGTTTCATTCTCTGAAATAATTTTACTCTTTTACAGGACATTAGTAGTTGCCAATGCTGGGGATTGTCGAGCAGTGCTGGGTAGGCGAGGTAGAGCAATTGAGATGTCCAAAGACCACAAACCTAACTGCACATCAGAAAGACTTAGAATTGAGAAACTTGGTGGTGTCATTTATGATGGCTACCTCAATGGCCAATTGTCTGTTGCACGAGCCCTTGGAGACTGGCATATGAAGGGCCCAAAAGGCTCTGCCTGCCCTTTAAGTGCCGAGCCTGAACTGCAGGAGACAAGTTTGACCGAGGATGATGAGTTCTTGATCATGGGCTGTGATGGCTTGTGGGATGTAATGAGCAGCCAGTGTGCGGTGACAATTGCTAGGAAAGAACTGATGCTCCATAATGATCCTGAAAGATGCTCAAGAGCGCTGGTCCGAGAGGCACTCAGACGAAATGCGTGTGATAATTTAACAGTGATTGTTATTTGTTTCTCCCTGGATCCACCCCATCACATAGAAATCCCACAACCCCGAGTTCAGAGTATATCAGCTGAAGGTCCAAACTTACTGAAGGGTGTTCTAGATAGTAACTCATGAAAAAAATGATGATCCGTCACCTTTGTACAAATTCATTCGAGGTTGGAATCAGTAAGAACATCATTTCCTCCGAGATGCTCCTGATATCCACAAGGCCATGGCTGCCATTCAGCTTTATTCAGGGAATAAATATGGCACAGAATGTGATTCTTTGAGTTTCAAAACCCTTTACACTCGATGTAATTTATGTTGCACCATTAGGAGCTGTTTAGTTTCATGGACCTTCCTCTCATTCTTTACTTCTCCGCTGTACATAATTTGGGGGAAAATTGAGAGGTGTGATCTAACACTTCTCTTTTAAATAGTTGATCTCTTTGTTGTTATTCAATGAATTAATTGATTGCGAGGGATTTCCATGGATGCCTTGCTTGTCCCCCGGGTCGTCCTGTTATAACTGTGGTTTTATCTAACCTCACTCCCATAAGCTTATGCCGTCAATTCCGTGAGCTATGTTTGTGCTTTTTGATGGTGAGTTAGTTTTTTAAGATACTGCTCGCCTGAAAGTAAATAGCCTGTTGAAATGAATAGTGGAAACGAGTTTAGACTCATTGAGTACCTGCAGGGCGACAGTGAACGAGGAATTCGGACTAAAATCCACTACAATTTTGAGTTTGACATAGGCGCCTGGCGTGGTGCCATTCGCTACCAGCGTTCCCAGGCTTTCAAACTTCATCGATATAAATTCATTTTTAAGCAATAAAAGCACATGAAACAGGCGAAAAAATGGCTTAATTTTCAGGTTTTGGACGAGAATATGTGATACCAAAAGTCCACAGTTGTCCCATCAAAAATGAAAAAGTAGTATCATGGGGAACACTAATTCAACATGGTAAAAAGGCTGTCGATTTTGAGAAAAACTTTCCCACGGGTGATTGATTCCAAAAATTATTGGAGTTTCTCATAGTTCCCCATCTGGTTCATCATCGTCAGCATCCACCTCATGGGAATCACTGCATAAATAGATGAAGCTTATGTTAGTAAATAAATGAGAGCATGATTGACAACCAGCATTTATGCAAATGATTAAACTGCTATCAGGTAGTTTACAATCTACAAACAGAACAATATTGAGGAAATGCCCAGGTGTAAAAAGTTTTTTCTTAACCAGTAGTTACGCATGAATACAGGTACTTCACAATCTACAAAACAATATTGATAAAAAATCCAGGCCCAAATTGTATTTTCTAGTTTTTAGAAGGGGCATGAACCCAATGTGATGTGTATTGGGAATGCTGCTCAAGTCAGTGAATGTTTCTGATTCTTCCGAGTTAGGTCACGACATAAATTGGCGGTCCTTTAAAGCCAAGTCCATAGGTTAATATATACTGCTAGCACTGACCTCGTCCATCTCAAGCACCAAGCAAGGCACACCTCTAACGGTAGTAACTATCCTTGTAACAAGCTAGTTTACCTAAAGCAGGTATACTTGGATTTGGATTCAGCATTACCTTGACTGCTTACAGTGCTTGCTCAAATCCAGGCATAGAATCTTGCTCAAACCTCCTACTTTCACGGATCCTTTCTTTATCAGTTCTGCCAACTGCAAGATTAACCGTTCTTAGTAGCCTGAATTGTTTGCATATGTTAAAGAAAGACCGTTAACTTAGAAATGGCAAAACAGGATATGAAAACTCACCTCATCTTCAGTTTCCTCCAGTAACCCCTCCCATTATAAACATACAGGTTAGACCTGGTAAGCCATAAACTAGATGACATTAACATCCTTGGAAGATGAGTGCAAATCACAGAGCCATTGAAGTGTATTTTGCAATGAGCGAAAAAGAGAGGGATGGCCAAACCATTTGCCATCTCACCTTTCACAATAAGATGATAAATCTTTTGAATATGCCTTGGCTTCTTGCTTGTCTATTAACAAATAAAAATAGAAACCAGCTTAAAAATTTGTAGTAGTTGAGGTGAACATAAAAGTTCAATGAGCAAGAAATGAAGAATGTATGACAGACATGCTGAGTTAGAACCAACCATCAGCATCACAACTAACAGGGTCGACATAATGTATGACATACATGCTGAGTTAGAACCAACCATCAGCATCACAACTAACAGGGTCGGCCAGCTCAACAGAGAAAAGGGAGCAATTCCAAATCCTAGAAAAGCAAGGATAAGAAACTCTTTTGGTGTTCCAATCCCATTCTCTATAAGAAAGAAAACGAGATCATTGAAGAAAGGATATAGAACTTGAAACAAACTCCCTGAAGACAGGATACAAAATTTATGCTTGAATAGAATTCCTTTGCCATTACAGGGGCATCAAGATCTTCGTTTCCAGCTTTCCATCAAAATTTAAACTCACATGAACTCATATAATAGTGGACATCACAGCTGAGCTACCGCTCCTTTTGCAAAGAGTAAGCTAGTGTCAGGGTCTGTTGGGACGTGGCCGTTGATGATCTGCACGTGGGTTTTGAAAACATGGGGCTGTTATTCAGTTAAACTATTTGGCTGTTATATTAGAAGGTTTCACGCAGTTGCTATTAATTTTGGGTTGTTAAAGTGACCTGAATGTGATTCTTAAAAAAATTATAGTTAATTATTTAAGAATTAAAGTCTGTTATGGAATAGTATTAATTATGGGTGATTAATTGTTGCTTAATTACAGTAATTGTTTTTTTATTTAAGTTATGAGATTAAATAAAAAGGTATGCAGAATTTATTCATACAGAGTACTAGAAAGACTTGGCCTCCTCAAAGTGGCTATTCAATTATTCTTTACTAATTAACATCTTATAAGTGATATCAGAGCCGTTCAATCCACGTTGTATTTACTTGAGTAGAAAGTAGGGACACTCACGCAACATAAATGGCTAACTAAATTGTTCGGCTTTGATTTTTTGGTGGAATACAAGAAAGGCAAAGAAAATCTGGTGGCTGATGCCTTGTCCAGGAAATTTGACAATGCACCAACAATATTGACTGCCTTGTAATTCCCTTTTGATAAACTGGATTTTAAAATTACGGGACTCTTATTTAGAGGATTTCAAATTATAAAAACTGATTTCTGATTTTGCATGACACAATCTGGATGGGACCAAATATAACATAAAGGATGGGTTGTTATTTTACAGGGGCAGACTGTATATTAGTGATTCTACTGATCTCAAGAATCAGTTGCTCCACTTACCTCACGGAAGCCCTCAGGCAGACCACTCAGAATTCCATAAAACTCTTTGTCGATCTAGAGCTAATTTTTATTGGATGGGCATGAAGGCTGACATTAAGAATTTCATTAAAGAGTGTGATATTTGCCAACGCAACAAAAATGAGACCATCCACCCCTCATGTCTTCTCCAACCTTTGCCTATTCCTACAAAGGTATGGGCAGATATCTCCTTAGACTTTCTTGAAAGGTTACCTCTTTCTAATGGGTTCAAATGTGATTTTGGTTGTGGTTGATAGACTAAATAAGCATGCACATTTCATCTTAGTTGCGCATCCTTATATAGCCATTAAAATCGCACAGATTTTTATTGTCAATATTTTTAAACTATATGGAATACCTAGCTCTATTGTCAATGACAAAGATCCCATGTTCACTAACTTATTTTGGAAAGAGCTATTTAAATTGCATAAGACTAAGCTCAAATTTTCATCGGTTTATCATCCCTAAATGAATGGTCAAACAGAGATTGTGAATAAATGTGTGGAGCAGTATTTATGGGGATAAACCAAAGGAGTGGTCATGCTGGTTGCCTTTTGCAAAATGGTGGTATAATACCAACATTCATGCTTCTACTAAACTTTCATCATTTAAGGCAGTTTACGAATACCCACCCCCACCTTTGTTGGCTCATTCATCAGGGACAGCTGCAGTTCAATCTGTGGAAGACACCCTAAGGTGTTAGGATCAAATCTTGCACCTATTACGTGGGAACCTATAAGTGGCCCAAGAGAGGATGAAGCGTTTTGCAAATTTAAAACGTACTGAAAGACATTTTGAAATAAAAGATTAGGTCTACCTTCGTCTCTATCCATATAAACAACATTTGATTGTGCAGCATAAAAATCTCAAGCTTTCTCCTAGATTTTATGGACCCTATCAGATCATAGAGTGGATTGGCGGTGTTGCTTATTGTTTAAACCTTCCCTTCACCTCCCTCCTTCATCCCGTGTTTCATGTTTCGGTTTTGAAGAAGAAGTTGGGTGCTTGAAATATGTTGGTGACTAATATTTCTCTATTAACTGTTCCAGATGGTCCACAAATTAAGCCTGAAGAAATTTTGCAGCGATGCCTAAAAAAGAATGGTCTTGCTGTCAGTGAGTTGTTGGTTAAATGGAAAGGGTTGGAGATCGATGATCCTTGAAGGCAAGGTCTTCTGATGGGGGAAGGATTGTCAGGGGTCTGTTAGGACGTGGTCGTAAGTGATATGCACGTGGGTCTTGAAAACATGGGGTTGTTATATAGTTAACTATTTGGCTGTTATGTTAGAAGGTTTTACGCAGTAGTTATTAATTTTCGGTTGTTAAGGTGACCTGAACATGGGTCTTAGAAAAATAAGACTGTTATGTAGTTAATTATTGGAGAGTTACATTAAAGTATGTTACAGAGTAATATTAATCATCGGTTATTAATTGTTGCTTAATTTCAGTAATTATTTTCTTATTTAAGTTGTGAGATTGAATAAAAAGGCATGCAGAATTCATCCATACAGAGTACTAGGAGGACTTAGCTCCCTCGAAGTGGCTATTCAATTATTCTTTACTGATTAGCATCTTACAACCAAAGGTCATAGTCCTACCATCATTCACATTGTCTTCCATCAAACATGAAAAACACCAATTGATCTACCATTTGAGATTAAATGAAACAAATAAAAACATGAATTATTCAAATTAGACATTCAATATAAGAAAAGGAGGAACATCATGGTTGCTAGGGACAAATTGGTTATAACACAATAGCCAAACCAAGACAAGAATATCACCATGAATTTCTGACATGAACAAGTACTTGCTACTTGAAATATTGTCCCAACTATCCACTCTAAACCATTCATATCTTTTCGAGTCTACCTACAAAACATATTGAGAAAGATATTGAATGTGCTCGCAGAGGATAAGAAAATTCCACACACTAATCCTAACTGAAATTAAAAAGAGCTAAGCACAAATGTATCAAGCTACAAGGAGTAATATATCAAACACACGTCAAAAGCAAAGAGCACAATCGATAAATAGCATAATTTTATAGATAATTACCTTCTCAAGAGTGTAATCTTTCATTTTATCACAAAGCTCATCTAATAATTCAACAACCTTAAGCTCACTGACTCTGGTTTTTTTTTTTTTTTTAAAAATAAGATAATCGTAAGAAACCAACAATATTAACAAGACATTACTCGTCATGACGAGGAGTGGTAAGCAATAGATAACATAAAATTGAAAGGAAATATTAAAGCTTTACCCAAAAGCAGAGCCATGATTTTTTCATATCGTGGGCTATAATATAAATGTGCATAAATTATTTTTTAAGATCAATTATTAACTCAAATATATAAATTTATTAAGTTAACAATAAAATTTCAATTCAAATACATAACACGAAATAAAAAAATAAAGTACATAAGTTTCAAAATAAAAATAAAAATAAATTACATTATCAAAGTTACACCCTTCGATGTTTTGTGGAATAAAATTTATCTATCTATGATCGATTTCGAATCAATATCTTTAACAAGCTCTCGTTCAATGTAAATCATCATAGAATCTGATAAGAACTTCTCTTTTATTTTATTACAAAACATAACATGTTTCACAGTAGAAAATGTCCACTCTGTAGTGGCAATGAAAACGGGCAAAGTCAAAACAAGATGAATCAACCTGTCGATCAAATGATAGTGTTGCGACTTATTTGTTTAAACTAATTCTCAATATAATTTAGAAATATTAGACATATTCTAAAAGCTCTCATGATGAATCACATCAATCTGATAATACTTTAGTCGAGATCTTAAATAATGCATCTCTTGTTCATTGAAATTTTCAGGATAAAATTTCTCAACAAGCTTATAAATAGCATCGACTTTAAATGATTTAAAATTGTTCTCAAATTTCAAAGTAGAGAGTTAAGTACGAGGAGTTTTATTGTCCTATCACTGAATCTAGAATTTAATTTTTTTAATTAAAAATCTTTTGTTGAGTTAAATATATCATAATAATAATGCTGATAAACTATCATGGAACATTATAGTTGACATAAACAACTTATAGCCTTTTTATATGAAGCATTCATATGTAGTATGTCAATCTCACATTTTGTGCAAACAGATTGCATATTTGCAAGGAGAAGATCAAATCCAACATCTCTCAAAGTTTGAAGCAATGCTTTAGTAGTTGATACAAGATTCATTGCATTTAAGATGTCAAAAGATTTTTGCTGTAAAGCTCGACAAAATAAATTGGTAATCCCTATTATTTTATACACCAAATATAAGATAAATATAAATTCAAAAGATTTCATCATAATCAAACAACTACTAGCTTCTCTACGTATAGAATTAGAAGATTTTTCTTGAACCATATTTTCAAGCACAGTAATAGTTACACAATACATATCTATTAAACTGCAAATAGAATCAAAATAAAAGCTCCAGCGAGTAGTTTCACTTCAATATAAATTACCAATTTGATTAACCTCTCTACCAATCTAACATATGTGTAATTTCTATAGCTCGATTGAAAGAAGCAGTAATAAGGTTGATAATAATTGTCAATTTTGAAAAAAATAACTAAATAAAAATCTTATTTCTCGCTGCTGCAAGTAACCAAATTGAAAAATTAATTATGATATTAATTAAAATTTTATCATGATCTCCAACTATAATATCAATTTAAATATCATGGTTATAATATATAATATTATTTAAATATCTTCTTAATAGCAACATGTAGAATAAACATGTTATATCATCATAACTGTTTTGAAAAATATTATTCTACCTAAATTTAAAAATAACTATGCTAATTTTATAATTTATCTAAAATGTAACTAATATAGTTAGTTTTTGGATTTATTTTTTGAGATGTAGATTTATTTAGGAGTATGATAGATGTTTTTTAAAGTTTTTTTAAAAATATATTAAAATGCTTTTTTATTTTTAAAATTTATTTTTGATAAATTACATCAAGATAATTTAAATATATTAAACCATTTTATAATATTGAAAAAAATTGAAAAAAAACCTTATATTGGAAAGGCCATAATCTATCTCCTCCTGCGAAAGAAATAAGAAACAGTCATCGATTAAGCTCAATTAACCTCGGAAAAATTGATTAGTGAATAATCAAGCCCTAACAATCATCAAAAGGTAACAATATAGTACAGAGAGAATTAGAGGATTCTTGAAGATGTGAAAAAATGGAGAAATCGAAAGTACCGCAACGGCATTGCAAGCTGCACATTTGTCATCGATGCTTGACACGACTGTGAATGTTAAAACGAAGAGCATCATCAGAGGCCACACCGCCGTGAATTCCGCCATCTTGTTTGTTCTCGTCTTCGTCGTCGTGGTCTCCGTTTCTTCCGATTTCACCTCTCTCTCTTCGCAGGGTGTGATTTATAGAAAGCGTTCCAGCGTCAAATTGGGAAGGTCCAGGCCCAGGGATAGGCCCATGATATGGACAAGGCCTAGATGGACTTGGTTTGGGTTAGAGATATCTGGGCTAGCAAGTGAGATTTCATGGCCCAGTATTTGTCTCCCCCTTGCCTTTCCTTCTATTTTCTTTTTAAGGTTTTAGAATTATTTTAAAACTCATTCAGGTTGAGAATTAATAAGATATAATATTTCATATAAAAAAAAAAGAAGGAAACCCCGTCCATGTGGTCCAAAAAAGCAAGGCTGTTCATCATATATTTCTTCTAAGTTCTAAAGTCATGATGCATTAAAATACATGTGTGGACTTTATATTATTCTCTTTTATAAAATTGATATTCTCTTTCCCCGCTGTCCGTCCACCCGACCATCCATCACCATTGCTCGAGATGAAAAGTTGTGAATCAAATTCACCAATTAATACGACAGTTCCCTTTTGTTGTCAGAGACATCGGCGCCAGCACTACATCATTAAAAACAGCACAGCTTAATGTGTCCGTTTTACCTTTCGCCCGCCCCCCCTCTCCACTCTCAATGATTTTGCACCGGAAATAGAATATCAGTCCTTGTCTTTGTGCAGCCACCAACGTGGTGGAGTTTGTTTTTAATTCTTTCTTTTTTTTAAAGTAATTCTCAAACTATTTTTTCACTTTCAATGATTTTGCACTGAAAATATAATATCAATTTAGAATCTGTTTCTTTGTGGGGCTATATCTAAGAAAATATTTGTTTTTGTGGTTTGATTTGTTTTTTATCTGAAAAATTATTACATTAATTTTTTAAATATTTTTAGCATATTTTAATTAAAATTAGCAGCAGCCATCCTTCCAATTAATATGTTTTTTTCCTCTAGTATTCTTATATTTATTTATTAATTAAAATTATTTTTTTAACAATTTAAAAAACATAATTTTTACATCGTTCTTATGGATTTAAATTTTTGCAGATACCGATGTTAAGATTTTAATTAATTAAATACATATATTTTTCGTCACGAAATTAATCCCTTTAAATTTATTTAATCCCAGTTAATCACTCATTTTCGTTTCAATAATCAAAATAATCTCTTATTATTATCGCCAAGAAATTGGAAGGAGGTCTCAACTTACGAGACACCTCACGGGACCACTCACAAAACCTACCACTGAAAATTTGTCACACACCACAGTCACTCCACGACGTCGTATTTCCCACCTTCATAGAGCCCCGAGCCCCACTTATCCCTCGAAACCAATCAAATACAGCTCCACCTCGAGATCCTAGCAACCATCAACGGCTCTGCAAATATCTACTCTCCACTGAGCTCAAGTTTTCTACCATGTCCAAACTCTGCAGGAAAAGAAAAGTTGAAAAACAAAAGGTAGAATGACAAATGGAAAAGAAAAGCGCTGACGCGTCGCTTTTATAAAATTAATATTACAAGTATCCTCATCGAGTGCCATGTCGCTTTACTAAATCCTGACCGACCACCCTAACAAAAAACACCTAAACTGGATCCAAGCTTCAAATCTCTCAAGTCTTTGTTCATCAAGATTGGAACTTTTTGTTTCACTTCGCATTGTCAGATTTATTTCTTCCTACTATAGTCTTTGTAATGTAAGTAACTCTCTCTCTCTCTCTATGTTTCTTATTTTTATATCTGTTTCTTGGCTTTGAATTTCGTGGTTGACGTTGGTATGAGGGTAATAAATTGTAGATTTCGAGTTAGTTTTATGCTAAAAATGGTTGTTTTAAGCCTACCTGTTTTATATTTCAAATTGGTTGCGTTCCTTTCTTTCAGGGTTGTGTTTTCTATAATTGGTCTTACTGATTTGGTTAGATAATATGTGGGATTCTTTGTTTTCCTTTTCTTAAAAAATGATTGTTGTGGGTTTTGGTTGAAGTCAAATATTTTTGATGATTTATGGTTGTAATTTTAGTGATGTAGGATCTGGTTTTTGAAAAACTATGTTATGGATCTGATAAATTGAATGTAAAGTCGATTTCATTTTTTTTTTAGCTTTTGGTGTTCTTTTGCCTCTGTGAAGATGATTGGGGGTAATCTTTGTTGGGTTCCTTCCTTTTCTTTTTCTTTGTAGATGATAGAAGGTGAGTAATGCTGCTTACAATATGGTTATGGGGTGTAATTTGTCGTGTGGAAACTAGGAGAGGACGGAATGTTTTCTGAGAGATTAACTGGAGAGGCATCTCTTCGCCGGGAATTGGAGGCTCTGAGTGTCTCAACGGCTAGTGAGAAGTGTTAGCCAGAAGTTGAGGAAGAAGAATAATCTTAGAGGTGAAGGAGAGGAAGAGGATGATTCAAGGGGAGTTTCTCTGAAATGTCTTACTTTGTATGGTATGGGTGGGGGCTGCAAAGTTGGTGCTGACACAGGTGAAGAATTTGGGGATCCGAGTGGTAGGAGGAGGTCATGCAGTGCTAGTGAAGAAGGAAAGGGATATAAACCAATATGTGGGAATGAGGAGACAGGGTTGGATTGTTTCTCTTATGGGGTGAGAGAGAAGTTCTGGAAGAAAAACAGTAGAAAGGATTTAGAGCTTGAAGATTCGATTCAAAATAGCAGGTTGCATATGTTTCTTCCAGATGATGTCCTGGAATTATGCTTAGTGAGACTCCCATTGACCAGTCTCATGAATGCCCGCCTTGTATGCAAGAAATGGAGATACTTGACCACCACCCCTCGGTTCCTGCAGATGAGACGGGAAGGTGCATATCTGAAGCCGTGGTTGTTTCTGTTTGGTGCTGTTAAAGATGGCTATTGTTCCGGAGATATATATGCATTGGATGTTTCTCAGGACCAGTGGCATAG